CTGTTGGGGGCAGTTTATATTTGATCCTTTTGTTTCCAATTTCCCTTTGATCTTCTGGCTTACTTTCTCTCACCTTCTTAAAGAATTGTCTGATCACTGAGTCATTTTAATTACTTTTTATATGGATGTGGTATCCCAGTTGCTCCAATGGGATCTTCGTAAAATAGAATAAACTACACTGATTCCCTCTGTCAGTTATTCTAATGAGATTGGAATGACAATATATAATGTTGCTTTTACTCAAGATAGCTCAAACTTTAAAAAGTTGTAGCCTAAATGAAAAATTAACTCAGTAGTGAGACACATAATGGAGGGACTGGTGGGTTTTGAATTAAAAAGTACAAGAAACTTGATTTAAAAGTTTCGTCGGTTTTTTTTAAGTGAATCATGTAGCTATACTACAACCACTTCAAGAATGTCTGCTGCATCATATCCAGGTGTTGTTGTTTAACTTGTATGCTTTATTTTGGGCTTACTACTTCTACTTCTCCCCTGACCCTTTGCCTTGGTATATACACCGCTTTTGTACCAGTGTAACTGCCAGATAAGGGTAGGGGGTTTTTTTTTTCACCCCAGCAGTATAATTATACTGGTACAAAGCATAATGTGGCTGCAGTTATATTGGTGTAAAGTTGCCTTATACTAGTATATCTTATTTCCTTTCCCATAAGCTACAGGTGTAGTTAAAGTTCTACAATGTCTGTGTGTAGACAAGGCCTCTGAATTTCCAGTGCTTCCCTTTGTCCGTGTGCTGTAGTATCTAACTCAGTGGGTGAAATTTGACTTTAAAATCTTATATACTCACTAGGAAATAGCAACAAACTAACATTTTAAGCAACAAAGATTCTAAAGCTTTGAAATTTTCTTTGAATAACAGATGCTAAAACAATTTCAGATGTCACCAAAGCATCAGGGATTTTAACAGGTTTATATCAGTATGTTTAATGCTCTCCCTGTTTGAGGCTATTCTTACAATGCTTAGTTTTTCTAAATATTAAAACATCTAGGGGTTACTAGAATACTCTAATCCACTTATTTTTAACAAGTTACTCAGTGCAGCAGCTTTTATTGCAAGACCTTCCAGGGGGAATGTGAGGATTTTGTTGAAAAACATAAAATTTCTACTCTAATACATCCTGCTTGGTCTAGAGCACCTCTGTCCATTATTATTTAGTATAAGTGGCATCTAGCTATTATTTCATTCTAAATCAAAGCTCATCTTTACTTTGAAGCCTGCCCTAACCTGAAGAGGCAATTATTATATATCCTGGAACTATGTATACCTCACTTCAGGTCATAGGACAGATAATTGTAAGATAATGTAATGAGAAGATGCTCTAGTTTTCAAGGACTTTGCATAAGGATCCATCTATGTTCTGTAAAATGGGACTGAATTATTTGGACTTTGGGAAGTGAGTGTGAAGTTAGGATTATTATGCTGGCATAATGTTCTCCCACTCTTACATGATACGTAATGGAAAATATTAATAAAAGTGGTAGAAGGAACAATTGTTTAGCAGATTTTATGTGACAAGAATCTAAAATGATTTTACTGGGAGACTTTAAAGTGAGGGGAAATTGGGTAGATTCAGTTAAGTCAAAAACTTTAAAATATAGTTCTAAAGAAAAAGTTGGTTTTATAAGATTTTTTTATTATTTTTGTAACCTGTTAGAAGCTTGAACAAACTTCAATTTTGCCAGCTACTTCCATTTTGCAAAACATCCCTTTCAGATTACTGATGGCACTGAAATAATATCTAAGTGTCAGCACAGTTGTAGGGGAAATGTTCATTACTTTGTCCTCTGAGACAGCCCAGTAAAGTGAGAGAGAATCTGCTAAACTGCTTTCTTTTGACAGATGGTGTATATAATTTTGCTCAATTCTGTGGAATTTTAAATATATAAAAACCCTGAGAAGAAGCATCACTAGATATAGTATAATTTTTTTCAGTACTTAAAATTATGGATATAAATCACTTTAATTCCCCTTTCAAGGAGAAATTCTGATATTAAATGTTCTATAAATTTTGTATTGTACTCAACACTGTGGCCAATAATATATCTGAAACTTTGGTTTCCTAATGTGGGCTAAAGATTTTTGTTCTAAGCTAAAATATAGCTTCCACCTCAGTCTAATAGTTTCATCCATTCTGAGCTATTCTGCTCAATTCCCAGTGTTCTATACGACAGTTTAGGTCTGAATTATGTTTATAAACCTAGAATCATGTGGTGGCTCTGCTCCTCCAAACTCTCTCCAAGTCACTGTCTCCACTATATCTTGTTGGCTTTTTGCTGTTGAATTCAGTTTTTTATCCTGCTCCTAAGTTTTCATTGTGTTGCAGACTTTTGTATTAACCAAGGCATTTAGGGTTCTTATCACCAGGAAGCAGTTCTGCTTTATTAAATACATCCCTTACCCAATATATTTCCCTATCAAATTTTGCTAGTAACTAGCTGTTCCGCTATCCACCCACTATCCACTCTACCAGTGATTCTCAATCTACTTACCATTGTGGGCCGCATATGCAACAATCTGTGTTGTATGGGCTGCATCCACACAATATATATACCACCTGTCTGCCCCTGACGATGTCACTTGGGCCTCAGCAGTGTGCTGATGGGTTAAAAATAGGGTGACCAGATGTCCTGATATTTGGGGCTTTTTCTTATATAGACACCTATTATCCCCCACCCCCGTCCCGATTTTTCACAATTGCTATCTGGTCACCCTAGTTGAAAATCACTGCTCTTTGCCATCAACAATGCAAATAAGTATGTTACTGTCTAAGCAACCCACAGTGAAATAATTTACAGTGCTGATATCAAAAGCACCATCACATGTCAGTGGTAACACCTCACTGAGCTAGATAAATAGGGGCAGTTCACTAAATTTTCTACAAACTGGCAAATTCCACTCCATCTAGTTATAGTTAATAGTTTGAATGTTCATCATACAATGAGGACTAAAGATGTTTAAAAAATTAAAATGTATATTATGAAACAATTCTGCAATAAATTCAAAAAGCAAGGGTGATTATGGTGCAATTTGTGGTAACTGAACTATTAGATGGGTTTAGCCTGTGTTACAATTAGAAAAGACAACTGATGTGGATAGCTGTTGATTCTGCATGCACTTTATATGCTTAAATACAATGCAGCAGTCATCACAGGTTTCTCACTGAGCAGCAGAATGGTTCTAGCATTTTCTGTGCTTACACAATTTGGAATCTCATAAAGTAAATGCCTGGGCTGGGAGGAGGAGGAAGGGAGACAGAAAGCCAGTTAGTCACTGTGACCCCTAATTCCTGCCTTCCACCAGATTTTATACGGAATTCCTACAGAGCTGTATATAGGATCGTGCAAGACCTTCCTGCCCATATTGGTTCATGTGAGAACTTTCAGTTTACGTATGCTAGCAAAACGGTACCTAATGTATATCACCAAAAACCACTTTAATTTCATTGGCAGTAGTTGTGTGACACTTTAAAAAGAGAGAAAAATCTTTACATTTTCAATACTTCCGATTATTAAAACTGAAAACTTGCATAACTTCTGCAACTATGGAACACTAACAGGGAACTGCAGGATTGATGAAGTAACAATGTCATGATCCTGCAAAGTTTTGCCACAGGCTTCTAAATCCTGTTTTGCTTTTTGATTTCCCTGCCATGTTGTGAAGCATGCTCCTGCTCCTAAAGTAAAAAGTTGAGGAAAGTCTGCTTTCTAAATCTAAATTACTCTTCCTTTTACAGACCATTAATGTACAGTTTGCATTTTACTTTGCTTGAATGGTGGAACTAATCTATAGTCAGTTACTTCTGAATTGTCCTGCACTGTCAATTTTGCCAGCTCTTGAGATACTTGGTGTTTAGTGCCTCAGTTCTAGGAGTCAAGTGATTACATGAGAATCTCAGCTTTCACTTAAAGCAGAGAGAAAACTGACACTATGAGCAGAGTGAGTGATAAAGGCTTAGAAGCCAGAAGGCAAAATTTATTAACTTAATGATTGTGACTCATGGTTGTTGGGGGTCTAGCTCATGATTTTTAAATGTTGGTGATTGGCAATAGTGCACACTGCTCCTGGAGGTGGTGAGAACAGACACCTAGTTTACTAAAGGTAAAATTTTCAAAATTGCTTAAATGACATCCTCCTAAATCCTATTTTCAAAAGGGACTTGTGCATTTAGGAGCCTAAAACTCTCCTAGGACTTATTGAAAGTCAATGGGATTTTGGCTCCTGTGTGTTTAAGTCCCTTTTGAAACTGAGACTTTGGCTCCTAAGTCACTTAAGGTAACATTCTCAAAAGTGATTAAGTGACTTTAAATTTTCAATGTTATATTTAGAAATACACTCACCAAAGAATAAAATATATAAAATAGAGAAGTGAGAGAATTGCATTGGTTGGGTTTCTATAAACTTCAATTTCTACAAGAGAGAAATTTTACCTCTCAGCTCAGAATAGTTTGATGACTCAAGCATCACCTCTAAGCAGTTATTTGTTCCTGTGTGTATTTGATTCCTGCTTTACTTTTTTGCCTTGTACCCGCAATATCACATCTTATACAATCAGAAATACTGTAGTCTTGCTTTTCAAGCTACCAATCCTTGCACTATATTGAATATCCAAATTCCAAAATGTCAAATCAAATTTCTTCCATTAAATCATAACCAAGATATTGAATACCGTAGATTATTATTTAAATAGCATTTTGTAGCTCTTTAATCAACAGTCAAGTACTTCATAGCCATTTGGCCTGTGTTTTTACTGCTCAGTATCAGTGAAGTACAATGCATCTGTCCAAAGAGCGTGCATCAACCCTGGAAAAGGACGGTCTTCCTTTACAGCATTCAGGGATTTCTCTTTAATACTGTAGTTCATGACATTTTAAATGGCCCCCTTCCAAATTTTACCCATCAAATGCACAGATTCAGTGGCGATATAGACAAGTGACAACTTCACTATGGCAAAGTGAATTTAATACCAGTCCCAAGAGAAAGGAGGAAGAAACTTCTCAAATTATCATAGCATTCATATTCCCAGAGAAAACAGGAAATGTTAATTACAGAAGTTTTACAGACCAGTATGTATATAGAGCAGATAACTCCTGCCAATTAACTTTTGATAAACCACTAGGAGTAAGAGGTAAGACTACCAGATGATGTCTGTGTGCTGGAACTTGCTGTTCTGTATCCAAGAGAAATTAAAGGGATCTCTCTTCTGAAAACTTACTTTGTACTTGTAACCATGTTCTATGCTGACCTGTATATAAAGTAAGTGCTGATTCTCCAAGTGATTTCCACAACCATATTTAATTAATCAACTGGCAAATTATGTTTGGGAAGGTACAGCTCCAGACCACCTGAATAGCGTTCAGGACTGTCTTGGATGCTTTCTGCTAATATTAGATATTTTACCACTTCTGTATTTACAGAAAAAATGGGATTCCCAAGTTCATCGACTTTTTTTTTTAAGTACTATAAAATAGCTTTTTTTTAAAGCCTTTTCAATTTGAAAACAAAACTGCATGGCTTTTGCTTTTCTTCAAAATGTAAACTCTTAAAAACTTAATCTTTGCAGGAAAAAAAAATTACTGGATAAATGGCAACTGCATTCCCCTACCCTGATAAGCATTTCATATCACAAATCAAACTAGTGTAATTATATTGCAGTCTCATAGGCGCTTTCCAATGTTTGGCTGATTGAGTTTTAGTAAGTTACTACACTCCCATTTTCAAATCAAATGCAAATTAACCTTTTGTAGTGGTAGAAATAGATATGAGTTGAAAATATACATTAGTTTGGCAGAAGTTTTGAAAAGTTCATTGTCTTCCCTTCATGAAGGGATGCTGCAGCAGTTGTAGAGCAGACGGACGCTCATGTTGATTTCTGCATAGTGGAGTGAGGGAAATTAATACATAAAATAAACAGTTGTTACAAAACATGCATGTTGCTTAACTGTTAAATTATAAAATCTAGATACAATCTTAACTCATCACTTCTCCAGTCATTCCTCTTTTTTTGGACTTTCTGGGGGGGGGGGGAAGGGCTTGGTGAAAAGTGCAGGTTGACATTAATTTGATAGTATTCTTAACTCATAAATCATTTCCTCCAGCCCTCTGATCTCATTGTCACTCGCTCTGAATTCCTTCCAATTAGTCAATAGCTTTCTTGTAATCTTGCTATTCCAGGGGCAGTTGCATCAAAACTATTTAAAGAATGATTTATTTCTTTGCTTGCTGACTCTACGTATGTGCAGTGACCAAATCTGCATTGGCTACTTTTTTTTTCCCCTTTCTGTTTTTGAGCCTTTGGGATAGACTATGGTCATAATTTCAAGCTTATCTCCACAACTGTGTGGGCTAGAAACTTTTTCTTTTATTATTATTACATGAAAGCTGAGATTTTTGTGGAATCACTTGACTCCAGGAGCCAAGACTTTTTAAAAAGAACATCCCAAATGACAAGTCATGATAAAGTCACAAGAATTGAACACTGGAAAGACTGTTTTCTAGGTTTCCTTCCTCTGTTTGAGATTCCATATGAATGTTTCAATTTGCATTTTTTCAAACTGAATCTAATATTGTTTTCTGCCCATGTATTTAATTTTTCTAGATCATTTGTATTTTGTTTGAAGCTGCTTCTAACTTAGTATTTTATGCAGATTTTAACATTCTAGTTAATTCCTCTTTCCTATTAATGAAGACTGTAAGTAAACCCAGATGTAATACCAAAACCCCCGTGGTACCAAATTTCCCATCTGTAGTTGTCCATGATTTTTCAAAGAGAGTTGTACAGTAAGGCACTTTTTTGGAGGCGGGGTGGGGTGTGGTTAATTCTCAATGTCTTTAAATGTATATCAAGGGGAAAAGGCTGGCCTTGAGGGTGAGGCATGGGACAGAGTGCCGTAAGACTTAGATTTGGCTTCCTCTTCACAGCCTTTCTTTGTGACAATGGACAAGTAAATTAATCTCTATGCTCCTTCCTTCATTTCTGTAAAACTGGAACAATACCTGCATCACAGGGGTATTAATGCTAATTTAATGTAAAGTGCTTTAAAAATCTTGGATGGAAGCGTCTTAGTAAATGCAAAATCACCCAGTCTGATGAATACTCAAATTTTCCTTTACATTCTACCAATAGCTATTTTATAGGATTTTCTTCCTTTGGGACCTAGGTGAACAACACAGTATTGTGGGAGGGGAAGCAAGTACAAAGAGGCAGTGACTCACCCTAGGTCACGTAGCAGGTCAGTAACAAAGTGGGAGTAGAACCCAGGTCTCCTGACTCTCCAGCCACTGCCTTATCCACTAAATCATTTGCCTCTATGGTGTTCAAATTCTTTCCTCAGCTGCCCATAAAAGTCTCCCATTAATTTCACTAGAATGCCTGCAGACAGCAGGAAACTGCCTGTTATGCTATTCCTACCCCTTCAAATGTAACGTTTGTGTTGGGAGTAAACTGCTGTTTTAAAAATCTCAACAAAAAAAAATTTTTTTTTAAAGTAAACATTGCAAAACAACACCCAAGTCTGCTGAATGACTTATATGGAATGTGCTCTCTCTTTCAGAAAGAGAACGTATTTTCTAGAGTGGTAATGGCTAAAGAATTTTCTAATAGAAAAGTAAATAGTTATGTGAGGGCTCCCCCATTTATGACCCAGTCTTGTAAGTTGTTTCCCTTTGCTAGCCCTAAGTCAGATCCTGGCAATGGGCATTTTTAAGAAGGTGTCTCCACTGAGCTCAGGAGATTTAACTAAACATCCATGGCATGCTAGAGCTCCATATAAACAGTGAGGCCAGGATTTGATGGAAAAACCCAAGAGGTTCATAACTTGATATATGGCATTTGAAACCTTCATATTTAGTATTACTTCAAGCCTTCTTGGAATGCTAAGTAAATGAAACCTTATATAGGCATTTTATCTTATAAGAGCTAACCCAAGCTTCCACTGATGATCAGCAACATTCAAACAATTTGAGAAACCATCAAAGATCAAAATACATATAAAAGTAAAAAAACTACTTACCTGGTTAAGCACACATGGACAAAGTCCGCTGCTTTTCCTGAGAAATGGTCAGGTAAAGAAGGCATCAGTCCTCTATGGGCTCCAATGTAAAACATAGCTGCTAGCCTATCCATGGAAGCCAGAGGTGGTTTACCCATTGCCATCTCAAATACAGTGCATCCAATGCTCCAGATGTCTGATTTTCTTCCATAGCCAGATTCATTTATTACTTCTGGTGCCATCCAATATGGAGTCCCATGCACAGACTTGAGCATTTCACTGTGTGTGCCACTCAGGCTTACCCATGCTAAACGCTTTGCACATCCAAAGTCAATCAGCTTTATTACACCATTTGGCATAAGCATAACATTATTGCCTTTGATATCTCTGTGTACCACACAGTTTTTATGTAAATATGCAACCCCTTGTAGAATTTGTTTTGTATATTTACAAAAGACAATTTCTGGCAATGGCCCAAAACGATTAATAATACTGGAAATTGAGCCACCAGGAACAAACTCCATGAAAATGCTTACAATGTTATCTTTTAAACATGTTCCTAAATAGGTTACAATGTTGATATGCTTTAGTGTTTTCAACAGGTCAACTTCTTCTTGCAACTTCTGATACTCCTTTTCTGTAGTGACTTTATCTGAGGTATCCAAAGCAACTTGTTTCACTGCTATTAATTGTCCCTGGCTTGTCAGACCACAGTACACCTGCAATCAAACCAGTATTTGAAAAAAAATTAAATATGAATTAAAGACAGGCTTTTTAAAAAATAAATGTATCATGGAAGTTGATCTAGAACTCATCTGTATAATCCAAAATATTTTGACACATACAGTAAATGGGATAATAGGGGAAATAGTTATAAAGAAATTATGTAGCTTGAGGCAAATGTATATTTTTAAAAATATTCAGACTTTAACTTACAGTGCCATAGGCTCCCTTTCCAAGGATTTCACCTCTAGTCCATGTGATAGGAGCCTTATTACCTAGACTGCTTTCTGGAAATGCTGTAGATTCATTGAAGTTCAACAAGTCACTTTCCCTCTTTGGTGCCAGGAACGCATTACTGTAACTCTGCTAGAGAGGTGGTAGTCAGGGAGACGGTGGGTTAGAGGAGAAAGGAAGATAAAGGCTTAATTTTAATGTTATTCACATGTTTTAAAAAATGATAATCTGAAATTCTTCTTCTTTATAATATCTCTTTAGAGTAGTCAAATTACAAGGCTCCTGGTCAGCCCATAGGCACAATGACTAGTATGTAAGAAGTACTTTTAAGTAATGTGTAAGTATGATGCCAGTGAGAGAGCATGCTAGGGAATCCATCTGGGAAGAAAGGTTGATAGCAGGGTATCCCCTTGTCTGTCACCTTGGTTCTCAAGTACCTAAATTTTACTAATCTGAAGAATCAACCTGACACTAGCCTTGGACTAGATAATACATTTAAATACATCCCAGCCCTAGAAATGGCTTCCTCCAGAACAATTGCTCTAAAACAAGTTGGAGCTAATTTGGAAGGGGCCGTTTCAGAATGAAGGGAAATAGTTTCCCTATCTACCCAGGAATGCTTATGAGGAGGGAAAGTGAAATCTGTCAAGTGGCTGTGTATTTACTATTTTTGTGTTACAGTAGCACCTACATATCAGTGCCCTAATGTGCTAAGCAGTGCACCAACACACAGTGAAAAATAATTGCCCTGAAGTTACAACGATGATGGGGGGGGGGGGGGAAGAAGTAGAGAGGTGAAATGACGTGCACGAGGTCACACAGCAGGTTAGTGGCTAAGCTCAGAAGAGCGCCCAGGTGTCTTGAGGCGCAGTTCAGTGTCCTATAACTTTGCTCTGCTCCCTCCCTAATAGAGCTCTCTTATTTTTATTTTATTTTTCCCAATTTAAACTCATTTCAATCTTCTATGATAAGCCAACACTTATGGTCATTTTTAAAGCAGCCATCTGATGGCTAACATAGATCCAAAAGGAGGAGGTGGCCCTCTGTGGAAGGCAGGCACCACTTGTAGTAGATAGGGTTAGAGAGCCCGTGCTTTTGCCTTGGCCCAAAGAAATCTATGGGTTTGTTCCTGTGGCAGAAATATCTCTTGTCCCTTTCCTTGACCCCATTTCCCCAGTTTATATCACTGCTTATTATTTTAGCCTTGCCCATTTTAGTTTCTCCATAATTACTCCTTTCATCCTGGAATATGGTCACTGTTGGTCAGGCTTATTTGTCACTTCTGGTGGTCTTCAAGATGGATACTCTGCTGATCCCAATTGCTTATTGAGATTCTGAGAAAGTGACTAGGTAGTCAAAGGAGTGTAGGCTAACTACAGTTTTTTAGTTTTGGAAAATCTCTAATGGGCAAGTCTGTCTGCACACCAGGATGAGGTACAAAAATTGAACTGGGCACAAATATTCTGGATGTGGACAGGCTACCATCTGCTTGACTAATATGGGGGCTCATCTGTTTTTCCATGCTAGTGGTGTTGCTACAGCATGGGGAAACAATTAGCAAGATATGGGAAATTTGTTTTTACCTGTTCCTCTGCACTTGCTACTACTTTGCCATCTACATTCACACTGCCTCTCTCTTCTTTAGCAAATACATTTTGTGTTTTAGAACCTGTATTCTTTGTAGGTATTCTGGAAGAGGCAGTATCTTTTTCATCAAGTGCTAGCAGCTCTGCCGCCAGGCAACAAAGCAACTCATCAGTCAGTTCTTCATTATCTGCATAGTCCAGAATGTTTTGATAAGTCTGGAAAACTGGGCTTGCAGCATTTAAAGTCTGGTTTGTTGGATGCTGAGTTGATGCATTTTCTGAATTACAATTTTCAGACATGTGTGTCCAACTCTGATCTAGTTTTCTTTGAGAAGATACACAGTCTGCTGTGTCTGGAAAAGACAATGCAAACAGTGCTTCATATTTATCTATAGATTTGCAGAAGGTCTGGTTTGCTTCCAGATTCATGGAGTCATCCATATCCACTCTTCCTTGGACTACACACTTGTTATTCTGATCTGTCTTTAGTAAACTGCTCATTAAAGCAACACATTCTGCATGATGTTTATCATCAACCTGCCGAAGATTGTGGACATTGGTTGCAAGTATCTGATTAACTACATCTCTATTATCTGAAGACTGCTCCAAAGGGACTTCTTTAATAGTTGACAAGTTTGAATTTGGAATGATTTCATTTTGTTTAGTGAATTGTGAAAACTCTTTCAAAACCAGAAACTGCTGACCTTCATCTTCGTTAAACAATGGCTTGCTCCTTGAAGTTTTTATGTGCCAATCTGGACCAGAAATTATTACATCATCTTCCAGCTCCGTGTTGCTATCTCTTAACTCAGAACTTCTCTCTTCTGGTGTTAAGTCTTTGTGCTTTTGTTTAATGCCAATTGTGTTCTTGGGTTTAGAATGTGTTCTTTTCTGGGTGCTTCTTATTCTGCTGCTGTCTCTCTCAATAGTGCAGGTAGATTTACGTTTATTAGCTGCGTATCTCCCAGGTGGAGCAGAACAAACTTCCCTGTAAAATCTGCTTTCATGTTGACCAAGTCCACGCACTTGGGAATATACAGGAGTCCCAAACATTTCATAAATCCCTGGGCCTTTGTCATTTGAATTTATTTCCTTGAACATGTCACTATATTTCAAATTCAAGAAATCTGAAGCAGACTGTGTTCGTGGAACAGAAAGTGGAGTAACATGTTTCTTTAAGCTGCTTGAACTTTTGCAGATATAAGGAAATGCTTGCTTTTTAGATTTCTGAGCACTCTGACGAACATGGTGTTTCTTCATCTGAGGTCTTTTTTTCTGAAGCTTTGAGGAAGCCTCAGATTCCACATGAGACACTCCTATAGAAGGGAAAATCTGGTTCTTGATGTTGGTATTGTACGTGTTACATTTTGTGGAACGCTCATCAGAAACAGAGAAATCTTGAGGTACTTCGCTACTCATTTTAGTCTTTGAAGCAGATCTATTTCTATTAGTTTTTATTTTATTGTCATTTTCTTTGTAAGCAAGTATGCTGAAGCTGTGACTCATATTAGGAGGCATGCTATGGATGACATCCTTTTTTCTGGTGGGACATTTGGCAATCTGTGGTGCCCTACGTGGCTCATGTTCAGATAGTGTAATATGAACAAGAGGTACCGGTTTATTGATTTTTGTTTCAGTTGCTTCTGAAATTGCTATTTTTTCAGTTGTTCCAAAGACTACTGGATAAACACTGTTTTCTGCTTTCCCAGCAGAAAAGTGAGGAATGATTTTAGCTACAGATTTATCTTCTAGCATATGATATGATTCTACTACTTCATTTTTGCAGCTTGAGTCTAAACCATGATTTTCAAGCACAGCGTTCACCCTGTCTACATCTGCACACCAACTATGAGCGGGTATCACCCCTGAAACATCTACTTCCTCTAGATAAGTTCTAATGGCAGTCCTTGGTGCTAAATCTCTCTCGCAGTTTCCAGCTTTTACACTGTCTGCATTGCTTGATGCAGGACTCTGAACTGCAAATATTTCACAGTTCTCCTTGGTGTTTGTCACTTCACTTGAGTTGAAGTAAGCATGACTGTCATCAAAAACGCTGGCTGTGTTCACAATATCTGAATTTTCATAGGTTATTGAAAGCTGATATTTTTCAAAGTCAGCCTGCTCAGTTTTAATACCTACATCAGCTTCGCTGCATTTTAATTTTATTTCACTTGCTTGTTCTTTCAAGTCTTCAGAGCATTTGTAATAGTTATCCATTCTGAATGAGTCCAGGTTTCCTGTTGAAGTAGAGCTATCAGAAACACTAGTAGGAGCCTGTTCTGATGACTTTTGAGCCTGCCTTTGCTACAGGTTGGCTTATTGAGGCTGGTAAAGTTTGATACTTGGTTTTATAGGCATAGGTACAGACTTTGTAATACTCAAAATATTGTTGCTATCAGTGTTTGCGTTGACTTTATTGTCCTGTAAAGGAGTAAGTTGAACTGTTCTTATAGGTTGAAATGTCACTGGTGCCAGGCGAAACTGTAAGTTCCAGAACAAACTATTAGTAATATGCTTTTGTATTTGGGAGATCAAATACACAATTTTGAGGCAATAATCAATGGTTTTAAGCAAGAAAATATGCCCAACTTTATTTTTTGGCAAATTCTCAGTATTTAACTCCTCTTCAGGTCCAATATCAACACATAAAATGCAAAGATGGTTGATAGCTATAATGACCCATTTAATCTGTGTATCTCATCCTCTATTTCTATGCATTTAGCACTAGGGAAAGAGGAATTATTTGATATGAGGCACATGTCACTACATATCTCAAAAAAAAAAAAAAAAAAAAGGAAGCCCTTGTACACACACTTATAAAAATCATCATAAGATGTTACCTGTTAACTCTGTCTTTGATCTATGATTTCTGTGTGTTTGCTATAAAAATTCAAAAGGTAACCAGTGTTTTGATATCCCAGAACTTACGTCATTTGCTGTGCACTTTCTCAATGAGAGAAAAAGCCTTACACTTAAATTTGTGTCTTTATTCTGGTTCCAAGAATGTATTGTAACTAGTGAATTTTCAAGTAAGGCTAATAGTCATGATGCCATGGAATATAAATCTAATTTAAGCAGTAAAAAAAGCTTTCAACCACAAAACTATAAAAGTGTGATGTCTTAACTGTAGCAGTTTTATCCATGCAGAAAATTCTTTCCAGACCATCAACAGATTTGTTACTATAACCTTAAATAGCTGAAACAGTGCAGCTCATCCAGGTGTCCAGTCTAGCCTCATCAATTTCCATAAACCATACTATATTGACACATGGTTTAATTGACACAATGGTAAATATGCCAGAAGTTGCAAGAGCTTTGCCTACCCTAGGGCTTCCACCAGTGCAGCAAAATGGTAGTAGTACTAGATAGATTTTTTTTTTTTAAAATGTTCCCTGTGTAGACAAGGCCTCCTTAGACTATAAAGCAATTTTTTTTTGGTCATCTTTTACACTGTAGTTTGGCCTCACTTACAATGAGTGGTCAAACTGTTGTTACCCAGTTTGCCCACACTGTGTGTAAAAAAACATTTGTTTTTTTCCTGTAGGTAGAACTACCCTGTATCTATTATTCTGCAGTGCTTGGGGAACTATGTGAGTATATTCCTATTTGGACTATTTACATGAATTCCATGAAGAGGATTTGGCCCAAAGTATATTTCAAAGTGTACGTGGGGTAGGATATGGGGGAAAAATGAGCTCAAAGAACATGTTGTGTGTTGATATGCAAATAAATATACAAACTAACCCAATTCCACAGAAATAATTAGTGGTCGTTTGCATGCACTATGTGCTCATTTGTATGCAATAATTTCAAAATAGTGCTGGTGTCTGTCCCATTGGAGCAAACCAAGGTTTGAGTGTGCTGGTGTGGGGAACAAGTTCTATACTTTAAAATTCAGAATGTTGGCAGGCTTTTTCTTCTTTTAGTCTGCACACCTTTTATCTGGATTGTTTGATTTTTATCCCAACTCTTGTGCCTCTAGAGGTCAGTATAACCTAAGGGATGAAATAAAATTAAAAGTTAAACCACACTGAGGGTATGTCTACACTACGGGATTAATCCGAATTTACAGAATTCGAATTTTGGAAACAGATTGTATAAAGTCGAATGTATGCGGCCACACTAAGCACATTAATTCAGCGGTGTGTCCATATACCGGGGCTAGCGTCGATTTCCGGAGCGTTGCACTGTGGGTAGTTATCCCATAGCTATCCCATAGTTCCCGCAGTCTCCCCCACTCATTGGAATTCTGGGTTGAGATCCCAGTGCCTGATGGGGCAAAAAACATTGTCGCAGGTGGTTCTGGGTACAGCCTCACCCCTCCCTCTATGAAAGCAACAGCACACAACCATTTTGTGCCTTTTTTCCTGGGTGAATACTGCAGACCATACCACGGCAAGCATGGTGCCCGCTCAGCTCAAGAAAGCAGTCATGAACATTGTAAACACCTCACGCATTCTCATGCAGTTTATGCTGAACCAGGACCAAAAAAAATGAGGCGAGGAGGAGGCGGCGATGGCAGCGCAGCGACAAGAGTGATGAGGACATGGACACAGAATTCTCTCAAACCACGGGCCCCAGTGCTTTGGAGATCATGTTGTTAATGGGGCAGGTTCTATCCGTGGAACGCCGATTCTGGGCCCGGGAAACAAGCACAGACTGGTGGGACCGCATAGTGTTGCAGGTGTGGGACGATTCCCAATGGCTGCGAAACTTTCGCATGCGTAAGGGCACTTTCATGGAACTTTGTGACTTGCTGTCCCCTGCCCTGAAACGCCAGAATACCAAGATGAGAGCAGCCCTCACAGTTGAGAAGCGAGTGGCGATAGCCCTGTGGAAGCTTGCAACGCCAGACAGCTACTGGTCAGTCGGGAATCAATTTGGAGTGGGCAAATCTACTGTGGGGGCTGCTGTGATGCAAGTAGCCAAAGCAATCACTGAGCTGCTGCTACAAAAGGTAGTGACTCTGGGAAATGTGCAGGTCATAGTGGATGGCTTTGCTGCAATGGGATTCCCTAACTGTGGTGGGGCGATAGATGGAACCCATATCCCTATCTTGGCACCGGAGCACCAGGGTACCCAGTTCATAAACCGCAAGGGGTACTTTTCAATGGTGCTGCAAGCACTGGTGGATCACAAGGGACGTTTCACCAACATCAACGTGGGCTGGCCGGGAAGGGTTCATGATGCTCGCGTCTTCAGGAACACTACTCTGTTTAAACGGCTGCAGCAAGGGACTTACTTCCCGGACCAGAAAATAACCGTTGGGGATGTTGAAATGCCAATAGTTATCCTTGGGGACCCAGCCTACCCCTTAATGCCATGGCTCATGAAGCCATACACAGGCAGCCTGGACAGGAGTCAGGAGCTGTTCAACTACAGGCTGAGCAAGTGCAGAATGGTGGTAGAGTGTGCATTTGGATGTTTAAAAGGTCGCTTGCGATCGTTACTGACTCGGTCAGACCTCAGCCAAACCATAGCAATATCCCCATTGTTATTGCTGCTTGCTGTGTGCTCCACAATCTCTGTGAAAGTAAGGGGGAGACCTTTATGGCGGGGTGGGAGGCTGAGGCAAATCGCCTGGCTGCTGATTACGTGCAGCCAGACACCAGGGCGCTTAGAAGAGCACACCAGGAAGTGCTACACATCAGAGAAGCTTTGAAAACCAGTTTCATGACTGGCCAGGCTACAGTGTGAAATTTCTGTTTGTTTCTCCTTGATGAAAACCCGCCCCCTTTATTGACTCATTCTCTGTAAGGAACCCACCCTCCCCCTTCGATCACAGCTTGCTTTCAAAGGAAATAAAGTCACTATCGTTTAAAAATCATTTATTCTTTATTTGATTATAAAAAGAGGGAGAGAACCCGGGTGGGGTTTGGGAGGAGGATCGGCGGGAAGGAAACGGCCACTAAAAAAAGGTTAAAAAAGACAGCCTTTTGCTTGGGCTGTCCACTGGGGTGGAATGGGAGGGTGCACGGAGCCTCCCCCCCCCTCCGCGTTCTTACACGTCTGGGTGAGGAGGCTATGGAACATGGTGAAGGGGGCGGGGGGTTATACAGGGGCAGTAGTGCCAGTCTGTGATCCTGCTGCCGTCCTGAAGCTCCACCAGACGCTGGAGCATGTCTGTTTGCTCACACAGCAGCCCCAGCGTTGCATCCTGCCTCCTCTGATCTTCCTGCTGCCACCTCTCATCTCGAGCGTCTCTCCTGTCCTCATGTTGGTCCCTCATGTCCTCACGTTCACTGGCATTTTTCCTATACTTTGAAACCGTGTCCTTCCACTCATTCAGATGAGCTCTTTCACTGTGGGTGGATTCCATGATTTCCGCAAACATCTCGTCTCGCGTCCTCTTTTTCCGACGCCTTATCTGAGATAGCCTTTGGGACGGAGGAGGGAGGCTTGAAAAAATTGCAGCTGCTGGAGGGAGGGAAAAAGGAGAGAATTTTTTTAAAAGATACATTTTACAGAACAATGCTTATACTCTTTCACGAACAACACTATTCACATTACATAGCACATGTGATTTCTGTGCAAGGTCGCATTTTGCCTCTTAATATTGAGTGCTTGTGGCTTTGCTGCTAGAGATCACAGACGCAGGTCCGGGCAACAGAATTCGGCTTGCATGCGGCCATGGTAAGCCATTGTCTTTGGGCTTCTGCACCCTCCTTTCCCACATACCAAGCAAAGCCCGTTGAGTGCTGCGGTTTTCCTGTTAACCTTCAGCAGCAGAAAACAAACTAACCCCGCCCCCACATCAAATTCTCTGGATGATCGCTTTATCCCTCCCCCCACCGCGTGGCTGGTATCAGGGAAGATCCCTGCTAGCCAAACGCGAAAAGCTCAGGGCCAATTCCCCGCCCCCCCTGCGCTTAGCTAACTGCAGGGAAGGATTTCTTTTCAGCCACAGGCAAACAGCCCAGTAGGAACGGCCACCTCTGTCCCCTTAATTAAATTCCCATATTTCAACCAGGTTACCATGAGCGATATTACTCTCCTGAGGATTACACAGCGAGATAAAGAACGGATGTTGCTTGAATGCCAGCAAACACCGGGACCATACGCTGCCAGGCTTTGTCATGCAATGATACCAGATTACTTGCTACTAGCATGGCGTGGTCAAGTGTCCTACCATGGAGGACGGAATAAGGCTGCACTGCCCAGAAACCTTGTGGAAAGGCTTTTGGAGTACCTCCAGGAGAGCTTCATGGGGATGTCCCTGGAGAATTTCCGCTCCATCCCCAGACACGTTGAGACTTTTCCAGTAGCTGTACTGGCCGCAAATGCATCCCAAGTCCTCAGGGCAAAGTAATCATTAAAAAACGCTTGTTTTTAAA